TCGAGAACAGGGTGCCTCATGCCCGAAATAAACAGCCAAGCTCCGTCCCTTCTTTTCTCTATGCTATAGACCGATTGTTTTTCTAATGGGTGGAACAAGGCTTCCTGGGTTGCCAGGAGTCACAGTAACAAGAGCTGCCTTCTGACTTCCCTCTTCCATACCCCCTTTTGTAATTTGCCTAGAGAGAACAGTTATCTAGTTTCTCTTCTCCCCCAGCACTGACCGCTTCCCCTCTCACCCCAGCTGCTGCCTCAGTTCTTGCTCACACCGCCTCCCCTCCCCAGGCTACCTCCACTTCCCATTCATTGCCTGCCTCATTTCTTGCAGCTCCACCCAGGCCTTGCCTTGGGGAAGAATGACTACACTCACCCTCCTTCTGGCCTGTCCCAGAAACTGGAGAAACTGTTTTTTGTCAAAGTCAACCGAAATGCGGGATCTGCAGGCAAACAGTGTTTTGGAGGAGGTTTTTTAAAGGTATAAATGATGGGTAGGTGTCTATCTTCCCACTGAAGATTATCACTCAAATTTAGGCGTCATGAATTCCTCCTACTCCAGCCATTGTTCACGCTAAAGCTGAATATGTGCACGTTAAAAGAGAAATTATTTAAAGGATGCATTCAGAGTCACAAAGGCAAGGCTACTGTTTTCCAGCAGGTAACCTGCAATTTGCCTGTACCTTCTCCCCACTCACCTTAATTCTGCACTAGTGGGAATTATATATATGCATGAGCAATATAAGGAAAAGTTTACTCCAACTTTCTGCATAGCTTCTTGCTGCTAAAGCTCTGTCACTTGTTCCTCCAGCCTCAGTTCCCTTCCCTGTGGAAGCCTCTCTATGAACTTGGCAACTGATTTTGTGTAATCGTTGGGGTAACTGCATGTGCACAGCATGCATACACACACACACACACATTCATACAAACACGTGCATGATACTTTCAGGTCAGGGAATGCCAGAATGGTTACCCACAGTATCTCAGTTAGTCCCCTTGTGACTTTCTTTCTCTCCTGTAGCCTTTAATTACATGCACTTCTACTATTTTTCCCCTCTCATCCCTGCCTTATTTCATGTACAGAATGGGCTGTGATCAATTACTGAGCAGCAACTTAATGTTTAGTTTTCTCCTTTCTGCTCAGTGTGTGGCCCCTAGCCATATTTACTGCACAATATTCAAGCCCTTCTCTGTTGACAAAATGGTTGATTTCCTTATGGGCTTCTCTGCATCCTCATCATTTTTGTATCTGTGGCTCTGCAAGTGATTTATGGTGGAGCTTGTTCTGGTGCTTGTCCCCAGCCTCCTGAGGGTGCCCACTTATTGGTTTCATTCTTGGGGTGGTTTTAGAGTGGAAAAATATGCCAGGAAAAGCTGTATAATTTGCTCTGAAGGGAGGTAGCTACTTTATTTGTTTGCAGCTTGTGCATGTTTTATTTTGTTATAAAAACCATGGGTGAGAAGCAAGGAAGGGTATTTTATTCTGCCTGCTTCAGTTTTGAAGAGAGGGGGAAAATGTCCCTTCTTTAAGGGCTATAAGGGAGGGCAGAAGATCTTTTTTCAGGGTGTAGTATAGGGCATCCTGTTCTCCCCCAATGCCCCTACCCAAACATAGATCAGAGCTCATGGGAAACCCCTGAGCATGGCAGTTGATTGTGACATCCCTGCATGGCCTTCACAGAGGGTCTCCTGGGAGCTAGCAGGAATGGGTCAGGGCTGGGAGCTGAGCAGAAAGCACTGAAAGCTCTGGGACTGAAAGAATTGGGAGCTCCCTAATGTGTGAACACCCAGCAGATGTGGAAGGTGCAGCTGGGGAAGGGGTGGAGGAACTGTTTTTCTTCATCTGTTCGAAGACATGTGTTTTCTCTTTTTTGAGTAGCCCAGCTTCACATCTGTGCAGATTCACACCCCTTTGGCATGTTTTTGCTGATCACAATAAAGAAAAGGTGTGGGAAGACCGCCTCAAAGCACTAGTCAACTTGAGACCAAGTTGCACCCAAAATCCAACTGGCTTGGCAGCAGCTGGATTTTTCTGGTTATGCTTGCATGTGTTTTACACTGTTAAATCCCACTGGCAGTCCCTCCTCTGGGGCTCTGTTAAAAGCTTCTGGGTCTTGTTGACTGCTGTGCTACCTCCTGAGTAATTTGCGAAGATGGGCTCCTTTGTGGTGCCTTCATTCTCCTCTGTGGGGAGAGGGAATGCATTTGTTCTCTATATGACTGCACCTATAGGGAAGGCCTTAGACATTGTGTGGTGTTTGCCTGGGCTGAGGATGACAAGGAATAACCCCACCCTTTCCCTGCCATTCACTAGCCAACAAGGTGTTTGAAGACATTGATGGTTCAATAGGATTAAGACTAGATCAGTAGTTGGCCTAAGCCTCCAGCAGGCTGAGGGGAAGCTCTCTAAGACCATGGATTGTTACAAGTGCTGGGCTCATGTGTGAGGAGGGGTGAACCTAGTGGGGAGGCTGCTGTATGTTCACTGAAGGAGGAGGAGAAATGCTTTTCCATCTATTTGATGTTTTATTGAGGTTCTCCTTTACATAACCTTAGGAGGACTTTGCTTTGAGTTTTAAAGGCCAGCAGGGGTATCTGAACAAAGAGGTTGCTGGAGGTACATGGCTTGAGTTTTCCAGAGCAAGTCGCTAGACTAAGAGGTTCTCTCAAGTATTGCATTTGCTGTAAGTGTGTGGGTCATTCTTTAACAGCCATCGTTTAAAACACAGGGAAACATACATACATGAATGATGTCTCGATTCTACTACTGTGGGAAAAAAATAATAATCCTTAGTCATTGCCCCAGTTGCTGTAGTGTGAGGCCCCAGCTTGGCAGTAACCATGGTTCAGGCTCCTCTGAACTGCCAGCTTTCTAAACAAACTGTGTGTTATCAAAACGGAAGAATCTGTTTCCCACTGGGACTTCATGTGACTTGTATTGAGCCCTGGGAGTTTCCAAGATACCAAATTTTGAAATTGTCATGGATAAAAATGGTCACGGTTAAAACAGGAAAGGCATCCTAGAGCACAGAGATTTTGAGTCAGTGGTCTGTATCTGCATCATGGGAGCAAAGGGGAGATCTGCAACCAGTTTCAACGTCTGTACAGCCATGTTTATCAAGGCAGGGGCAGTGGTGCTGGTAGCCTCCCCTTAAGGACTTCCTATGTGAGCAAAGAGCAGTTGTGTTGCTGCATGGTGCCTTCACCACTCTGTCAGCTCCAGCCTTGACCTTGAAACATCTGTAAGATGTAAGGCTTCTGGACTTACAGGGAGAAAGGGGAAGAGATGGAATGCAAGAAATGTACTCAATATGCTTGTAAGGCACTGTCACGCTAGTAAACAAGTGTTTTCTTTTGCTTCCTGAACAGCGCGTACTAACGCTAAGAGGCAAAAAGTATGGGGCAATAAGACAAGTTCTCTTTAATTGACTATCAGTTGACCTACAGGGAAACAGACTAAATTGAAGCAGAGGAATGCTTTCTGAGCAGCAGAGCAGCAATTTTAGAAATATATTTCTTATTATTAATAATTAATTAATTTTAAGAGGGCATCTTGGAAGTTCTGGCGCAGTTCTGAACCAGGGCTTATATGCTGTAATGGGCAGGCATGGGGTTAAAAGGGGTTGACTCAGGTAGAGGATGTTCCAAATCTAGCCCTGGATTTGAGACAGATATCTGTGATAAGATCCATCTTTAATGTAAAGCTGAAAAGAGAGTTTGAAGATGAAACAGGTTGAAATAAAGAAAGTATGGCCATTTACATGGCCTATGTAAACCTCACTCTCACACTGTAGTTACTTAACTATTTTTATTTTCTTTGCTTCCCAGAGGCAAAAGTTAAAACTCCATGTCAAAAAGGCCCAGCATTTAACAAAACAAATAAACAAAAAAAACAGCCTGAATTCCTGAATGGCCAACGTCACAGAATTTGGTTTAAAATTGTAGAGTTGTGTAAGAATTGATATTATGGACAGAAAGGGGCTAACTAAACCTCAGGCAAGGGGCTTAAGGCTTTGGCTAAGTTTGGATCTTTATCCACACTTGATCATCATTTTGATCGAGGCTCCTCTCTGCTTGATGTCTTTCCAAGATTTCCCTGTATTCGTTTTATCCTTGACAGGCTAGTGAACATCTACCAGCACTTCTATCAGAAGTTTTGGAAAGGGGAGAGTTGAACATAATCTTCAGATAAATGCATACCAGGACCACAGAAAAATGGTTTCATGAACAGAAAAGTCAGGCCTGTAGCTCTGAAAAGCTCTTGATAGACTCCTCTCTAGAGAACAGTAACGATGTTATCGCAGAGCTGTGATTCTGTAGCATGGTGTGAAAACTCTCCCCATGGCTGTGGTATGGAAACTCTGAGGTTTATATCTGCAGCTCAGCTACCCAGCTGCATTTTGTGGCTTGGGCCAGGAATGCCCTCTAAGGTGTTATGCTGCAAGGGCTTAGCAGTATGAGTCCTCCCCAAATTTGTCAAAGAGAAGAAACAAACTGCATATTCTACCCCTGATGCAGTAGAAATATACAAATAAATGTATACATCTCTGCTGGGCCACATTCACATACACGTGTTGGTCTCTCATTGCCAGATCCTGCTATGAACTTCAGCTCTGTGTGCTGTTAGAAATGGCAGAAAGAGATAGATATCTTTATCTCTGCACATGCACATACATATTTTTGACCAGTAGCATATGGTGATGTTTGCTTAATCCATGGGAAACTCACATACCCATACATGATGTGACATGTATTTTCTCCACAAAATTCAAACCATACTTTTATACTGGGCTATATTTGTTACTGAATCCTCAAGTCCATTTCTGCTACATAGCTGGATAGGTATGTTTGGTATTCTTTTAATTTTTTCTGTTTTTTTTCTCCATAAAAAAAAAAAAAAAAAAAAAAAAAAAAAGAGAGAGAGAGAAAAAAACATAAATAATTCAGAACACGTGTTTTATATCAACTGTTTCCCTGTTACTATTTTATCTCTATAAACAGGGCAGAGGCAAACCCTATCCAAACAAGGAAGGGGAGGAAGATGCATTGCAAAATTGTGGATAGGTCACGTGATTCAAAAATACATGCATAGATATATTTTTGTCTGGAAGGCCCTGCTCAGAAGTATGATGCACTTTAGTGCTTTGCGCAGTGAGTTGGTGAGTGCACATACAGTAAGTTGAATGCATTCTGGCTGCATCTGACTTTTTGCCTGTATGCACTTTGCTGTTTGTCTAGGACTTTGAATGCTCAGGCTTCCAGATGTTCAGAAATCCCCTGCTAATATGCTGTAATAAGAGACTCCATTGGAGGGTGCTAAACTTGTTGATATTCCCTAGGAATTCAGTCCTTTATAAAATACAAAATTTGTGACACTTTTTGTAAAGAGTAAGTCCAAGCTCCCTAAGTCATACGGAAGTTCTCTGCTGAACTAAAAAAGGAGTTGGGCTACACCCACGAAAAATCCTTTCTCCTGTGAAGATGTGGCAGTTTCATTTGCCTGTTTGTCTTATAGGTTCAACTGATCAGCTGCTGTAATTTTAGCACACATTACTTGCTACCTATGGTCTGTGCCAAAGACCAAATCTCTGTATGGTGGTGTTCCTTCACACTCTACTTGTTATGGTTAAACATTGCTATGAGCCTGTACTCCGTCCTTTTTCATCTGCTTGATTTTTTTTCAGTATCATGAGGAGGTATATTATTGTGTATATCTTCTGACACACTAGAATTAGACCTATCCCTATTTCACTATGGTGATAATAAATGTCACCATTACTTGTCTACACTCAAATTCTGATATGCACTGCAAAGCTAATGATGGCATAACATACTAGGTAATATCCTACACTGATGTCTCCAAGAACATAACAGGTCAAGTTAATCGTTCAAAAGACCCATTCCTGAGTCCTTAAAAACAGCAACAACAAACAGAACAAAACAAAAACAAAACTCCACAACAATATGAAGTATGTGCCACATCATTGCCACAAATATCCTGTCCCAGTACCTCATTTCTTTTCATCCCTCAAAGTGATGTTATGAGGGTAAGTTCACCGATGTTTCAGGGGTGTTCAGATACTGTACTGACAGGGGCTGCATAGGTGAGCAGAGAGAGACAGCAGATGTACATTTATTAATCTGGTAAAGGATGGATATTTAACGTAGCAGTGCTCCCAAACAAATGTCAAAGACTGTGTTATCAGCATGTCTCTTATCTCTGGAATTTTGTTTTGTACTGTGCTACTTTGCTTCTTGGTTTATGATTTGTTTTGCAGCTTCCCAGAAAAAAAGAGAACATTAAAAACACGAACAGCAAAAGCCTGGTAAAAGTTGTAACCAGCTCTGACTGTCCATGGTATGACAGCCAACAAATATCACCTGCTGATGATTTACAGATTCCTGGGAGATGTGGTGTTGAGTCTCAAAGAACTGGAATGAGAACAACTCACTCAACGTGCTTCTCAGGAAACAATGTAATGTATCCACCCGTTTCATGCTCTCCTAATTTAGGACATGTGTAGTGTGTAATGATGAATAGGCCAACTGGTTATGTTGCTGTAAATCTCATCCTCCACCTTACTAAGCACCCTTGATTGACCCCATCTTTTGTGAAAGCTCAGCCCAGGGTTTTCATTTCACCTCTTGGGAAGGAGAAATCACACTAACTGTTTGCAAACATGCTTCTGCAGAGAGAAAAAATGCAATGTTTTGTTGTTTTTATTTCATTGGGCAGCCTTTTAAAGTGCTGTGACCCACTTTTGCCTCCCTTTAAACTGTGACCAGTATTTATTTATCCCTTTTTAAACACAGTAATTTAATTAAGAAACTAATCAGCAGTGTTGAAATGATCTTTGAACTACACCTTTATCACTGAAAGAAATTTATGAATGCATAATACAAGAAAGATTCTATTACCTAAAAAGCTTTCTACTAAAATGATTTGGCATCTGAAAAGCAAGGCTTGAAATTCTGCACTAAATTTACAATATGGAGATGTGAAAATTATTTATAGACTCTGAAAGATGTTCCAACTGAATCTGACAAGATTGTCTGGATTGTTTATTAAGAATAAAACTGTTTCAAGTTCAAAGGATTTTGGAAGTGAGTTGAGTTTTAAGGAGTCCAAGGGACAGACTGTAAAGGTAGGTACCTTTGTAACAGGTAGAGATCTAACGGCATCTTGCAGTTATGTTCCAATTTTACAGATATTTATCTTTGTTTGTGAATGTAATAATAGAGCTCTTCTTAGGGCTCTCTTTTGTTAAGAGCACTACAATTCTTTCCTGTACTGCTTCCTTACTTTCTCAGTATTTGCGGAAATTCATCTTTCATTGCTTAGTCTTCTAGCAAGTTGACTTGAAATATGCCAACAGGTTCAAAAGGCTTTGTTATGGAGTGGGGCGATAGATAGAGACAGGATGACATCAAGTGCTTTCTTCAGAAAAGTAAAATAAAAGGGGCATAGTGTCTGTCCCGGGAAGCATACTGTATTTCTAAAGGATGGGTAAAAGACAATAATATGGACTGAGAGGAGCAAAGTTTATTAAGGACTCATGTCTAAAAGACTGGGGAATTCTTTTAGCAAATTGATAAGGCTCCTGAGTTAAGTTTGTCACTACATTCCTGGGGTGCATTGACATGAGCTTGCTCAGAGGTATGAGGCAGGAATTAATATCTTCACACACTTTCCATTGCCTTATTTTCTTTGTTATGTATTATACACTCCACATGGGCTGTGCAGAGAAAAGAAAAATAATGATGAGAATAAAGATGAGAGAAGAGGATTGCCATTTTTTTTCCATAAAGAGCAGATTGCTAGAGTGTGGCATTTTTCCCACACATCTTGAATAGTTTTGAGTTTGGGCTTTTTGAAGAGTTTTTAATTAATTTATTGTTTAAGTATCTGTAATGAGAAGAAGAGCCCCTGCCACACTGATTCTAATGAGGATTGTATGTGCTCTATGTCTTTCTCATTGTGGCCTGTATCATTTAAATATCTCAACCAACATGTGCTGTGGCAGATTTCACTTATAACTGCTTAAATTAAAGCTTGTCAGTTTAGGAGTTAGGAACCATGCAAATATTTGAGAGAAATTTGACATTCGCTGCTGAAATCATTGCACTAAATATCTGGCACCAATGAGATTATTCGAGAAGGGTTAGAAATTCTTGCTATGTTGCACAGGCTGGACATTCTGGACTTAAAGGAAAAAAAATGTATTTCAACTTCTGTGCTCGTAATTAGGGTCTCCACCAGAATTTCAGCTTGTTTTTCTTTTGTATTTTCTTTGAGCAGTATGTGACTGTTCAAGTTCCTCAAAGTTGCTGCTAGGAGAACAAACAGTACCAGTATCTCAGGAGTAGCTGGAGTAATAGCACGGTTTAGCTGTAAAAGGAATGGCATTTCCTTATGTTCTCATCCTGCAGAAATGCAAGGGGAGATGGTGCTGAGCTGGAAGAGTGTGATGGAACTTTGGATATTTGAACAGGAGATGAAGCCTAATTTCCCACGTGTATGTACTTTTCTTCTTGTAGCTCACTATAGCAGAACATCATACCGTGTGTAGTATGTACAGCAGTATACAGAGGCAAACACTTTTATGCTAGAAACTACTTGCTGCACTGAAGACAAAATTGGGTATTGATACAGAGATATTACACATCTGATTTTAATCTCCATTGGCCATTACAAAAGGGACCAGAACCCAAATATTTCAATACCAAGACAGAGTCTGCTACTAAATATGGACTTGCTTTCTTTTCTCATGTAGCCAATGAATAGGGAATAGACAAGAAAAATCAATGCTGGTAGGATCATAGGATAGTTCATGTTGGAAGTCACCTTAGGAGGTCTCTAGTCCAATGTTTTACTCCAATCAGTCTCAGCGGTGAGATGAGTTTCAGGGCTTTATCTGAATGGGACTTGAAAACCTCCAAACTTCCAAGGAAGACCTACACAACCTCTAGGTTCCAGTACTTGACTCCTCATATCATTCCTTAAATAAGGAATATAAATGTTCCTTTAAATGAGGAATATAAATGTTCCTTATAGCCAATCTGAACTTCTCTTCTGTTGTCTCTTTTCTTCTCACCATCCACCACTATGCAGAGCTTGGCTCTCTATTCTTGGTGACCTCCCCATTCAAAAACAGGGTGCTCTGTTGACTCCTGAGTTCTGGTAACTCAAATTCAGAGAGAAGGCCCAGCTGGTGTTTTGATGTCTAAGGTGACATAAAAGCAAGTAAGAGGTGTTAAACATAGAGTCTCTTCTTCCAAAGTCTTGTATACTGGCCTACTCCCTGAAGCCATGGCCTGCTCCTTCAGCTGCATCTCTCTTTCTAAAGCTTATTTTTTTTTTTTTTTAACTTCAGACCAATGGCTTCCCTACTGTTCAAATATTCTAACAGTTGTGCGAAGGGAACATTTTTCTGATCTGCATCAATTTTTCTTGTTTGCAATTAATCACAGGATCACAGGAAAAAACATTTTTAAGGTCAGACTCCTAGCCATAATCATCTATAGTTAAAATTTTGCTGTTTTAGGCTGTATTCTTTTAATATATCTTACCTATTGTCAAACTTCATGTAAGTGGTGCTACAAGACCTGAGCACAGTCTGCACAGCATAGTCTCACCAGAGCCATTGGAGAAGAGTCATGAACTCTGGGTACTGTCCATGCTACCTGTGCACTCTCAGTTGTGTTAGCTTCAGTTATTGTCACTTGCAACTGATTTATAGCCCCTTGTCATGTTCAGGTCACTAGTTTTAGAGTAATAGTAACCTGCCCCTCCTCTTACTAAACTCAGTATATGTGAAGGTTAACTCTGTTGAGCAGAGTTAATTTGAGTGAAGCTGCAGAGGAAGAGTTGGGTAGAACAATGATGGGGACGCTGGAGTTGACAGAGCTGACCCAGGTTTTGTATCACTTGATCACTTGAGCTTTCTTAACAGGGAATTTTGGTTGGTGTTCAAACTCAGGACAGCTCCAAGTGGATCCAACAGAAACTATATGGAGGAGTGGGTTCATAGAATCACAGAAATATTTAGGCTAGAAAAGACCTCCAAGATCATCGGGTTCATCTGTTAACCTAGGACTTCCATTTCTACCACTTCCCTGGGCAGCTTGTTCCAACACTTCACAACCCTTTCAGCAAATAAATATTTGCTAATATTCAACCTAAACCTCCCCTGCCACAACTTGAGGCCATTTCCTCTTGTTCTATCACTTGTTGCTTGGGAGAAGAAACCAACCCCCACCTCGCTACAACCTCCTTTGAGGCAGCTGTCGAGAGCGATAAGGTCTCCCCTGAGCCTCCTTTTCTCTAGCTAAATAACCACAGCTCCCTCAGCCACTCCTCATAAGACTTGTTCTCTACAATCTTCACCAGCTTTGTTGCCCTTCATTGGACATGTTTCAGCACCTTCGTGTCCTTCTTGTAGTGAGGGGCCCAAAACTGAACAAAATATACACAGGAACACTAGGTTTCTTCACCTTGAAACATTGTGCAACTCATTTCAACATCTGACTACACTCTTTCATGCTGTAGATTCAAATCCACCATCTCCCTTTCCTATTTCCTACAGCTCACCCTATTTTAGGCCTGGAATCCTTGCTGTCAACCTCCTATAGCACTGGAGTGCTAAGTGTTTCAGGCAGACAGGTAAATCTTTACATTTAGGTTAAGAAAACTGAAATAAGAGAGATGAAAGGACATGATACTGCCCACTGTGCTTTGAAGAACTGCTATTTACTGTTTGCTAGGCCCCTGATAATAGAAAACCATTGGAGGGGCTCAGGAAATTCATACACTCAGCGTTCCTCTGCATTTTGTTCTCAATGTCTGTATGCTATTAATTTGTGTCCTCTGGAGTTGGACACGCTTTCTTCAGCTTTGATGCACATTAATTCTTATGCATAACGTGGCTTAAAGAAAAGACAAATTGTTGGGTAGTATGGAAACCTGAGGCATATTGCCCTTTCAAGTAGTGATTCTACATACAGAAGGAGGAGGAAAACATTGCTGTTAGGGCCTCTGTGACCTGTTCGAGGGTAAATAATTATTTTGAAAACCATATTTGATTTGGAATGAAAAGTCAGTTCAGAGTCCTGATGGTTGTACAGCAATCCACCGGGTTAGTCTGGGAAGCTTGTGAGTCACAAACCAAATTCATCCCTGAACAAAACTGCCTTGATAAAGATTTTGTTTTGGAAAATAGAGAGCAAAGCAAAGCCATGTTAATTGCTGTAGGTGGATAAAAACATCCTCCAGGCTTGTGACATTTTAAAGAAACAAAATCTTGTACATCAGATGGATCGCGCATGATGCTCTATTTATTCACATGAACAATGTCTTTTTGAGGGATTTGTATGTAAGTTCCATTAGAGTTTCCAGCACATGAAAAACTGCTTAAAATGGACTCGTCTAAGGTTTTATGGCATGCTGTGTAAGCCAGCAACTTGAGGTTGGAAAATC